GGGTGAAAGTGGCTCCTCGGGCTCCTCGAATCACTCACCTGTTTTTTGCTGATGATTCTTATTTATTCCTCCGAGGTTCTCTCCAGGAATGTGAGAATCTGATTGAGGTGCTGAATGAATATGAGGAACTGAGTGGGCAGAGGGTTAACTTGGAAAAATCCGCGGTATGCTTTAGCAAGAACATTGCGGTGGCTGATCAGGAGTTTTTGGCTCAGATTCTGGGTGTAGGGGCTGTCGGGGTACACGATAAATATCTGGGGCTACCTACGTTAATTGCTCGATCTAAAATGGCTACTTTTCGGTACCTAGAAGAAAAGCTCCTGGAGCGTTTACAAGGGTGGAAGCAAAGGACTCTGTCCTGGGCGGCTAAGGAGGTTCTGATAAAATCCGTTGCCTTGGCTCTCCCGCTCCATGTCATGTCCTGTTTCAAACTTTCTATCTCCTTGTGTAGACTGTTGGATAAACATGTAGCGAGGTTTTGGTGGAATGTGGTGGAGGGCCAACCTAGAATTCGGTGGTTATCATGGAGAAATATGTGTCGCAGCAAACATGATGGGGGCATGGGTTTCCGTCGCTTCGAGCTATTCAATCAAGCCCTGTTAGCCAAGATTGGGTGGCAGATCATTACCGACCCCCTATCCCTTTTAGCTCAAGTCTATAAGGGCAAATATTTCCCCTCTGGGTCATTCTTGACGGCTACGGCCCGTTCCAGGCCTTCTTGGGGCTGGCAGAGTATTTTGCATGGCAGACAATTGCTCGAGCAAGGGCTTCGGTGGCAAATTGGTAATGGACAAACTGCTTCTTTACTTTTGTCTAACTGGGTCTCGGCCCTTCATCCTGATCCCCCGCGGTATAACCCATTGGTGATTCCGATGGAGGGGGACCTTCGGGTGAAAGCAGTCCTCTGCCCGGGGGAAGGGCGGTGGAATGAGTCTAAGCTAAGGCAGTGGTTTGATCCCCCCTACATGTCGCACCATTATGAGTATTCCACTCCCGAGACAACATGTGGAGGATCGACTTGTTTGGAATGACACGGCTGATGGGGTTTTTACGGTGAAATCTGCGTACCACCTGGCGGTTAGATTGGATCAGCGAAAGAACCATTGTAGAGCAACGGTTGGTTGGATGGATAAGCCCAGCTGGATCCGGTTGTGGGATGCTAACATACCTCCAAAGCTTAAGGTGTTCGTCTGGCAAATTTTGAATCGGATTCTCCCCACTACTGAGGCACTTCGGAGTAAAGATGTAATGGTTCACCCTCTCTGTCCGGTCTGTTGGGATGCAGAGGAAACCATGGAACATTTATTTCTGGATTGCCCAGTGGCTCGGGCGCTTTGGGACTATTCTGGGCTAGAATACCTGGGTCAGGGGTTGCCTCGACATACGTTCCCGCTCTTTCTTAAACGCTTGTTTCCTCTCATTCTGCATTCGGGCATGGTTATGACGGTAGTGGCGGTTCTATGGAGGATTTGGCGCTCTCGGAACTGGGTTGTGTTTGAAGGCAAGCAATTTGGGTTCCCAGCCTTGATGCGGCAGTTAAACCAGCAAGTTGATGAGTGGCTGCGGGTGCCAGTTGAGCGGGGACATCCCGTGTTTGCTCCTGGGCCACCCACGGCTAATGCGGGGACTGATAGCCGGGTTATTTGCATGTGGGATGGAGCGACGAGACAGGGATCACACTCGGCAGGAGGGGTGGTGCTAATGACCCCTTCAAGGGAGATTTTGGTTGCCAGAGGCTTCCATTTCCCGTGCATTGATGATCCTATGGTGGTGGAAGTGTTGGCCTTGCGCGAAGCTTTAGGATGGTGTCTGGCGAATGGAGTCTCGGAAGTTTGCTTTGAAGGGGACGCCAAAGTGGTCATTGATAAAATCAATCGAGCGGAGACTGGTGATATTAGGATAGGTGCGGTTTTGGAGGAAGTGGTTAATTGTTTTGCTTTGCACCCGGGGTTTAGTGTTCGATTTGTAGGTCGTTCTCACAATAGGGTACCCCACTTGGTGGCTAGGAAGGCCCTTTCATTGTTTCCGACTGCAAATTGTTTGTTTGATTTCCAGGCCTGGCTGTGTTCCAGGATGTAACTATCCTTTGATTGATTCTATATATATGAATATCTTTTGTAAAAAAAAAAAAAAGAGAGGAAAGGAAATTGACCTCGACGGAAAGGAGTGGGAAAGATTTTGATGCAAAAATTGGAAATTGCAATTGTAATAAAATACATGAAAAAAAGTTAACAATAAACTATTCCACTCCTCCCCATCTCATCTAACCAAACAATGTATTCTATATGTGATCCAAACCGTCCCTTGTTGGTTATTTATTTAGGAATGTGGGTCGTTTGGTTTTGGTGATAGTTAAATTGATGCATTATCAACAATACATGCATAATAATATACATGCAATAAGAAAATTGATGTATTGTAGTTTACATCGTTTGGTTTCTGTGATAGTTATTCAAATATTGAAATAAGTTATATTACTTTTTGGATGAAATGTCATTTTTGCCTTTGTTTTTAATATTAAAAAAACAATACACATAAAAAGGTAGGGACATAGTTGGAACAAAAGAAAACCCAACAATCTCTACCAAACAATCTCAACCAAAACTTGAGATTTCATTATGAGTAATAGTTTGTGTCAAATCAAGCAAACAATGCATGTATTTTTTGTGCAGAAAATTTAAAAAAACGATGCATTATGGACAATGCATGTATTGTAAGTAGCCCAACCAAACGACCTCGTAGTTATGTAGAGGGTCAAAGTAGGTCATAAGGAAGAAGGGAAGGAAATGGGGAAAGCCTTTATTGAGAAGATGGGGGGCCACTGAAGATCTGGTTCCGGTTCTGGGCATGACTGTGTGGTGGGCCCACAAGCACGCGTGGCCCACATTTTATATTTGCAGACGACCTTTCCATGTCATTATGACGCACTAGATTATGGGCTTACGTCCCAATGATTGTTAATCCCTGGCTGCTCCTATTCTGCACGTGGATCCCTAAAACTAATCCCCTTCTATTATTTTATAATTAAATACATTATTAGCTAAGTATGAATGACAACATTCATCACATTTTCCTACAAAAAAAAAACATTCATCACATCTTTATTTATTTATTTTATTACCCATAACCTCAGTGCCATGTGCCACTTTATGATAGTGGGTCCTACTAAATTTGGGCTCACCTGCATTCAATTCGAAGCTAATGCCAGCAGCTTTATACCTCCGGGAACACCAACGGGGTTCGCATGGATTTGAACCTGGGATCTGCAACTCCTAAGCCTTCACCGATGTGGCAACTTACCATTAGACTATCTTACCTTTGATAACATTCATATCTTAGTTTCAAATCTTGCGTCCAACAACCAATAAAAAATTTGTCAATACGTTGTACTAGAACATGAAATTTGTTTGTTTCATAACCTAGCAAAATGAATATAATCTTGTAGAGCATACTTAATATGATTTTTTCGTATAGAAGAGAAAATGTCGAGTTAAAACGAATAACTTATGATTCCTTTAAAAGAAAATATGGAGAGGTTATGTACGTAGTTGTGTATAATTCTAGGCTATACACATAATGTTGAGCCATACAAAATAAATCGATTGACAAAAATGAAGATGGTGGCAAGAGAGAGAACTCGTCTAAAGATCGAAGACTTAAAAGTCGACCCTATAAAAGCAATACTTTTTTATAAGGGTGATAAAAAATTTTACTTTATATTATTAAGGTACTATTTAATGAATTCGAACTTGGGACCTCTAGGTCCTAGATTGGTGGTATTTCTACTAAACCAAGTCCTTGTTAGTTCTTGTAAAGCAATACTTCGAGCATGAATTGCAACATCACCTATTATGTGTTAGTTCTTGTAAGAAAAACCTATTATGTGTTAATGTGATCGATATAAAACACATCAATAATGAAACCACAACCCTAACAACGAAGATCGAAGAAAATAAATCAGCGTAAACTTCCAAATATCGATCCTATAAAGCAATACTCTAAACATTAAGCATAACATTATCTTATTGCGAGCAATACAAAATAAATTGATCGGCAAATATGAAAATCGTGGCAAGAGATAGAACTAGTATGAAGATCGAAGACCTAAAAATCGATCCTATAAAACAACACTTTGAACATGAATTGCAACATTACCTATTATGAGTTAATGTGATCGATGTAAAATACATCGATAATAAAAGCCACAACCCTAACAACGAAGAATGAAGAAAACGAGCTAGTAGAAACTTCCAAATCTCGATCCAATAAAGCAATAATCTAAATATTAAGCATAACATTATCTTATTACGAGTTAATCTAATAGCTATAAAACACATCAATGATGAAAGCCACAACCCTAACAACAAGGGACAGAGAAAATAAGCTAGTAGGAACTTCAGAAAATCGATTCGATAAAGAAAATTAGATAAAAGTTAAATTGCGAAGATATAAGAAAATGAGTGGATACATGACTTATAAATAAGGCTAAAATTCTAATTCCCTATATATGGTATACCAAAACATGGTAAAAATTGATTGCAAAACAAGAAATAAAGACAAGAATAAGTCAATGAATTTACTCATTTGATTCTCCTTCCATATATTTTGTTCCCCATGAAAATGAGTTTAAATGTCTTGCCAATATATCCAGCTAATAAAAAAAAACCAGCATGAAAATTAGCCCAATACCATAAATATAAATAAATAAATAAGTCAGGGAAATAAATTAATAAATTCAAAATTAGTTAGAGAGTAGAGTATTTAGTTGAAATCATACCTCTATAAATTGAGAGAATAATCGGGATAAAAAAAGGACTATTCCTCTGTTTTTTCTCCTCTTGTCTCTCACTCCCTAAATTGCAGCCCGCCGCCATTTTCAATCCATTTTTCGCTCTCCTTTCAAGCCATAATCCAACTGGGTTTCCTCTCAAATCTAAGTCTAGATACTCACCTGACAAAAAGAATAAGAAAAGAAAAAAAAAAGGCTTGGGGAGTGAACAATGGCTCAGAATTCTTCTCATGGCCCAAATTTCCCCTGGAACCGAAATGCAGAGCAACAGAATCAGTATCAAAATCGGATTCAGAATTATAATTTCTACCGTCCTGAAACTTGGAATTCTTCTGCTGCTTCTTCTTCACAAAATGTTATTAACCAGACCAATCCCAACAATGCTACAGATTCAACTTTTAACTACAGTCTCGAGCAGGTTTCCCCTCCCTCAAGATACTCTGTTTTTCTTTTCTCTGTCTCTGGCAATGGTGGAGAAGTGAAACGAATTTCTTCTTTTAATTCTTATGGGTTCGTTTTCTTTTTGGGTTGCAGCTGAATTTGCCAGATAACCTCAGTAGCTTGAAACCACTCGGATTAAAGCTGAACAATTCTCCCGAGCTGGCCAGGTGGATCGAGAGTCAACTGAATCGTCCTCCGACCGGAAAAACCAGGCTCAGGGAGCCCAAGTCCCAGCCGGCTTCCGATAAGCCGAAACCTGTCATCACTCCCGCAAGTAAACTGAAGATCGGTTCTTGGGAGGTAAAAAATGACCTTAACAGCGAAATCCACTTCCGATTTCATCTGGGTTTCATGAAATTTTTGTTCCACTCTGTTTTTGTGTGTGTGTGTGAAAACAGAGAGTTGCGAAGAATACGAGTGATCTGACGACGAAGTGTTACTTCGCGAAGAGGAAACTGGTCTGGGAGATATTGGAAGGAGGGTTGAAGAGCAAGATGGAAATGCAGTGGTCTGATATCATCGCCATTGACGCCTGTATTCGTGAAAAGGAGCCTGGAGTTCTTCGTATCGAGGTTTTTTGCCGCGTTTTCTTTGTGATTTTGTTTTCTGATAATGATTCATTTCATTTTCTCTGGTTTTTGATGAAGTGCGTTTGTGTGATTTTATGTTGCAGTTGAATCAGTGTCCAAGTTTCTTTCAAGAAAAGGACCCGCAGCCGAGAAAGCACACAATCTGGATGCCGACATCGGATTTTACAGGCGGCCAGGCATCGAAATGCAGGTGAAAACGAATTGGTTCTCCACGTATGGTTTTTCTTTTTCGTGCATGTTGGTGAATTCATGGATTTTCGTCATACGTGTTTTCAAAGCCCGGTAGCTTAATATTATCAACTTAAATTAAACAAGTCATATCGAGTCGATTTATTAAGAAGAGTTGGTTATTAGAGGTGATCATATTTTTTAGATTTTGATAATCATTAATATTAATAGTTAATTTAATGATCGAGTTATGGGAAATAGAAATTGAAGAGTGCATAAACTGGTTCTTATTACGATCTTGCTCCCGAAATTCATATAACTATTAATATTTGTAGATATAATACAAAGGATATGATTATTTGACGTGCTCATGTTTCGAGATTTTGATAACCATTAATACTAATAGTTAATTAAATGATCGAGTTGTGGGAAATTTGAATTGAAGGGACATAAATTGGTTTCTTATTACAATCTTGCTTTCGAAATTCTTATAACTATTAATATTAGTAGATATGATGCGGATGAAAGTGGTATAATATGCATTCTTGGAATTGTAACTACAATTTGTTCTTGACATAGAAATCAAATGTGTTTGATCTAATATCTATGGTGACTCTTCCTACTCAAGAGCTATATTTGCTTACAAATTATTGTGTGTCGAGTTATTTCTGGTCGTGTTTTCAAATTTTTTCAACATAGAAATAATTGTGTTTGATCTATGATGGCTCTTACTACCCATAGTTAGATTTTACTTACAAATTTATTATGTGTCAAATTATTTTTCCTCATGTTTTTCAATTCTGAAAAATGAGAAAATCTATAATATTATTCGTATGACTTAAGTATAAGTTATTATGGATCGATATTTTTAGACAAATTTTCTGTTTATCATTTTCTTAACCTCTACTTTTAATAATTTGATTTGCTTTTAAGTTACCTTGAATTTGTGCAAACTGATTTCTGTTTATCATACTTTTAAAGTATGATATATTGTTCAATCTTTTCTATCTAGACATGATTTTTGAGCATATCGTTTGTTAAATAACACATTAACAATTTCAATCATCATGTTACTAACATAGGAATTAATTTTATTTGAAAAAAGTATTTTTTAACAACCCTCTACAATTTGGCAACACAATTTTTTCATAAGTTCCACTGATTCCTTGTTTGCTCTAATACCTTTCTTCTTCTTTTCCAGGAGGCATGAAATAGTGTTTTCACCAGGGAACCTAGACAAGCCATACAAGAGTCTTCTACAAGCCGACCAAAACCTCTCTGAACTAAGCAGCAAGCCATTCCCCAGTCTCGAAGATCCTTACTTCCCGTCTCTGTATCCCGATTTCAACCCGACCCCCAACTCGGTTACAAACCCAAATCCTCAGCAGAAGTTCCCCCAGCTTTCCTCTCCATCCCCAATTCCAGGTATTAAAACAATGTAGTAAAAAGCTTGTTCCTTTTCTCCCTGCAACTTTCTTCCGAAATAACATAGTTATGCAATTTTCCCTATTCAGATGAGCAAATGACCACCAATGCTGCAATGCGGGGTGAGAAGATGCTGCCAGAACCTAACCCTAATGTTGGGCTAGTTAGCTCCAATAAGTCAGTAGCAGCAGCCACAGCCTCCACCATAGGGAACCAGTACTTAGCACCGCGGAGAATGTATTATGGTTCAAGCTCGGGTGCTGCTTCATTGAATGGGCAGATCAATAACAACAACCTGTTGGATATTGAACCACGGAGAATGTATTATGGTTCGAGCTCGGGTGCTGCTTTATCGAATGGGCAGATCAACAACAACAACAACCTGTTGGATGCTGAACCACAGAGAATGTATTATGGTTCGAGCTCAGGTGCTGCTTTGTCGAATGACCAGATCAACAACAACAACCTGTTGGATACTGAACCACGGAGAATGTATTATGGTTCGAGCTCAGGTGCTGCTTTGCCGAATGACCAGATCAACCGCAACAACCTGTTGGATACTGAACCACAGAGAATGTATTATGGTTCGAGCTCAGGTCCTGCTTTATCACAGATCAACAGCAACAGCCTGTTGGATGCTGAAATGATGAGCATCAGCCATTTCAGTGGGTCAGTATCGGATCTGGATGGGTCTCCTTCTTTAGTCATTGATAAGGATTACCTGATGAGGGAAAGATTGGAACTCCTGGGGGATATGGAGATTGATCATGATGCTGAATTTGCAATTCGTCCGAACGAGATGTTGTACGACCAGCAGCACCAGCAGGAGGTTTTTGTTCCGGATTCCGCTCTTGCAGGTTTGATTACAAGTGGCGGGGAAATGTATGAGCAGCAACATCAGAAGCAGAAGAAGGGTTTTGTTCCTGATGCTGCTCCTGCTGGTTTGATTACAAGTAGAGGGGAAATGTATGAGCAGCAGCAACAACAAGTTTTTGTTCCGGATCACGCTGCTGCTGGTTTGATTACAAGTGGTGGGGAGATGTATGAGCAGCAACATCAGAAGCAAGAGGTTTTTATTCCGGATTCCGCTCTTGCTGATTTTATTACAAATGGTGGGGAAATGTATGAGCAGCAGCAGCAGGATTTTGTTCCGGATCCCGCTGCTGCTGGTTTGAATACAAGCGGTGGGAAAATGTATGAGCAGCAGAATCAGCAGCAGCAGGCTTTTGTTCTGGATCCCGCTGCTGCTGGTTTGATTACAAGTGGTGGAGAAATGTATGAGCAGCAGAATCAACAGCGGCAGGATTTTGTTCAGGATCCCTCTACTGCTGATTTGATTTCGACTGGTGGGGAAACGAATGAGCAGCAGCAGCAATCAGGTTTTTTTGAGTATCCCCATCTTGATGATTTTGGGATGATGCAGTTTGACCAGGGTAACAACCTCGAGAGCATTCTAAGAATGGATCTTGAGCAGGCATTACAGTTTTAGGTAGAAGATTTGAGAGTAGTGTATGTGCTGATGATTTTGAACACAGCTTCTTGAAGCTTATTTGTTTACCATTGTTAGGCCAATTCTTGTACGAGACAGCCTTGGTTTTTCTTAGTTCTAGGGGTTTAGGGAAAGATTGGAACTTTACTAGGTTTTTTAGCTTAGTTGGAGGCGGAGAGAATTTGATGAACAAGGGATATTGAGAGATTCTCATGTTTTGTACTCTGGAGAGTGAATTGAGCAGATCTCTCAAATGCAATGCAGAAACTGAAACAAATTAGAATAAATGGAATTTCATCTCAACTTTTCTTGTGACAATGGCAAAGTAAGATATGGTATCATTTGAGTTATTGTGATAAATTGATATTTTAATCGGTGAAAGAGTTTACTGATAGATATTTCTCGTGTTTAAGTCTTCGTGGCTTATAATTCACCCAAATAAGTAGCGAGGAGGGTCATATAGGCTCAAATTGAATTTCATTCCAACATGTTAACAAATTATCTTTCAACTCATAAGTTTGCACTTGAGAAGTAAACTAAACTCTCTGCAGAAAGGCTTTAAAAACTATGATTGTAAAAAACGTTCAATGAAAGCGAAGGTACCAAATCAATAAATTCTCTGTTCTTATAAATGATCTCATTCTACTCTAAGAAAGGTTCAAAGTCTTTGAATGGGGAGATTTACTCGATCGATCATCAACTGATTTTCTTGCAACTTCATTAGCGGCGCCACCTTTCTCCATGTTCACTTCGGTGTGCCTTTTCTTCGGATGTTTCAACAAAGATTTCTCCTTCATACTTGCTATCGTTAACTCCTCTTCTTTCTCTGTCTCTTCCTTGTTCTCTTTGTCCCTGGAAAATTGTGGTTCATGATTACTCTGAGGTGGAAACAACGGAGGGTCTTGGCCGCTTAATTTGCAGAACACTCTCTCAACCGTTTCACTTATTTCTTTCCTCAATCCATTGTTGTCTAGAATCAGTTCCCACACTGATTTCGAAGCCTTCTCGAGAATAGGAGTTTTACAAATGAAAATAACGTGGAAATTGCAGCTAATAGGATTCGATTGTACTTTGAATGAATAACATCAAATAGAGAAATGAAAGAGGAAATAAAAAGAACCGAGATACGTACTCAAGTTCTTGTCGAAGTGCATCGAATAGTTCCCTCTTGGTCTGTTTCTCTGCGGAATGGGTATTTAAAACCTTACTCTGCTCGGCCATTTTTATGGTTGTATTCTTCAGCTCTTCCTGTGAACAGAATATTTGCTAAAGCTAATTACACAATCAATTGCTTTCAGAGTGCAAAAGGTATTCAGAAGTTTAACAGAAGATCAACGAGATGCAACCTTTATCAACAACCTTAACTCCTAGGACACTTAGTTCTACTAAACAAAAGATTTAATGGTCGCAAAGAAACCACGATTAAGGGTTCCAATAAAGGCACCGATGAAATGCTAAATCTCTAGAGATAAAATTATCATGGTTTCTGATATAAGTTCAGATGAAATGCTAACTTTTTAGAGAATAGAAAATCCTTGATGCGATCAGATCGCATTCAGGGTGACAACGCATGTAACACTTCATTGTTCTAACAAATATACCATTCCTTTTATTGCATCAAATTGACAGCCAAGCAGACAATCAGCATAATAAAAAGCTCAAGTCCTGATTGAATTAATGGCCATTCCATATGAAGAAAAAGAGGATCGACAACATGAACGAATAATGTCATCCGATGTAAACGATCGATCACCAAAGCCACGTGTACCGAGAAGAGGCAAGAAACTATAACTGAGCACATTTTAACCCCACTAGCTTAGCAGAAAAAAACAGTGAATCTCTTTAGCCACATAATCAACACAATCTAATTCTCTTGGAAGTCTTTTCCTTCTCATTAACAGTAAGATTTTCCAAATATGCAACCGAACATAAGCCAAACAACAAGCAATTCTCCATTTCCATCGGAAATTCAAATCTTTCGAACCAATTCAAACAAATCTAATAAGGAAAAGCAAATTGAAATGTAAGACTGAGCTTAGATAGAGATGGGTGTACATTGGCCTTGAGCTGATTGATGATCTTCAATCCGAGAGCATCAATGGTGCCGTCATTCATCAGACATTCCAAAACGTCTTCTGAAGATATCACTGACGACGAAGAAGAAGACGCCTCCATATCTGAACCCTCCCAAGTCCCAACAAAACCAGAAAATAAGAACCCTAGAAAGGATGAATTCGGTTCCTTTTCGTCCTTCACGCCAATCTTCTCGCTCTTATCTATCGGCAAACAAGTAACAACAAATAACCCAACACCGGAAAACACTCCATTCCCTACCTTTGAAACCCATTGAATTAAAGGGGACATAAAGATCGAATACCCTCGGCCTCAAAAGAAACCAGCAATTTTAGGAGGACGGAAAGAGAGTTAGCACCTGCAACAAAACTACTCGCCAACACGAGCTGGGTCTGCCGCCACAAACACCCGCAGCAGTGTGAAGAGTGTTCGCGCAGAATTGGCGAGGTGGACGATGAAAGGCGCCGCTTTTGAACCTTTTTCTGAATTTTTTCCCCTTTTTTAGTTTTTTCCCCCAACCCAGCTGCTACTCTTCTTATTCTTTCTGCAGAGAATGGCGAAGAAGGGAACTTATCTGATTTCCTCGCTCTAATTGACCGTTCGGAGAGGCTAATACGATGTCGTTTACCCACATTTCTCTTGCCTTTGACCGTTTGGCGGGCAACGGTAGCTGAGAAGCTGAGTAGGGGGAAGAGGTTTTGCGTTCGTCAATATTAGGGGTGGAAATCGGTACGGTATCGGTATCCCAATACCAAATACTGAAACACCGAATACCGAATTACATCCTAAATTCAATCCCAATCCCAATCCCTAAATAATTTCGGTATCCCAATCCCTAAATATTTCGGTATCCCAATCGGTACTCCGGTATCCCAATCGATATTATCGAATAAGAAATTAATTAGATTTGATTGCTTAATATAGGACAAAGAGACTAAGCAAGAGTCTTGAGTTTGGCTAGAGCTAGGATATGGATAAGGAGAATGGAGGAGAGGTGACATCTCAAGTTTTTGTCATTGGTAATCTTTAATTTGATGAATTGGAGGCTTAGAGAAGACTAATACTAGTGTTTATTTTTTGATGTTATGTAAAAACAATAGATTAGTGATTGAGGGTCGTGTAGTATTGAATGAGAGAGTTTAGTTGAGAGCATAAGATAACATTAGCTTATATTTCGGTATTTCGGTATATACCAATCCCAATCCCGTAATCCCTAATACCGAATAACAATTGAAATTGAATCCCAATCCCAAAAACTAATACATGTATTCGGTAATACCAAATATAGAGAAATTCGGTTCGGTATTCGGTATATCCCAAATACCGGTACCAAACTTCCAGTACTAGTCAAAATAGAACCCACAACGAAAGTTGTAGCCTTTAATGGAGGCCTCGGCATTTGAAGCCCTAAGCTTAAAAGTTGTAAAGCCTTGTAAGTTGTAATTGGCTTTTAATGTGATCCTAATTGGTACGAATTAGGATGAAGTACATGATCAATGAAAATGTTAAATGTATTAAATTAGAATTAAATGGAACAAATCCTCATGTGGAGAAACTTATACTTGAGTTCATTAGAGACAAAATGATCTGTATTCATCAAGAGTATCATCTATCCAACAACAATACATTACTCTCTTCCTTTGAATCTTCCCTACACCCTCATTGGGACTACTCTACTCTTTCAAAAGGGTTTATTGGTGTTCGTCATCTTTATCCAAGGAAGATGAGAGATAGTTCAAGATGAAGCCGTCCAGCTCTCCTTCAAGCACTGGATCCGAGTTTGAAACCTCGTGGCCGGTTTGGACAGGGGCGGAGCCAGGATTTAGGTTTCGGGGGGCCGGAGTTCTCTTAATATGTTACGCTAAAGCGCTAAAATTCTATTAAACAAAAACTTATTTTATTTTATTAAGAGCGCACAAAAAAATTCATATTAAATTCAATATAAATCATAAAACTATAAACAAGTTACTAACTCATTTCATTATTTTGTGGTGTAACCTATTTTATTAACTGAAGGCCAATATATACCAATATTAATATTTGGGAAAAATTATTCATTATATATTCAAAAATAATCTTACCGAAGAATATAATTGACATAATTTGTAATTAAATAATTAACAAACCAAATATGAAAGTTTAAGCATTTGATCCAATTGTTTGGTTAAATAAAAACTTAAATGGCGTCTAAATTGATTAGGTTAAATAAAAACTTAAAGGTTGTCTAAATTGATTATTTAAGAATCAAATATAAACGGCATTCATTGGCAGTTTAAACAAAATCATCAGTAAAGTAATTTTTACTAGACTTCGACCATTCATTAAGACCATTATCTCTTATCATCAGTTTGCGGGCGTCAGGGGTCGACAGAGCCATGAAGCGAATTTCATTGCAATTGAGGTGCTCGACAGTAGGAAGAGGAGCGGTAAACCAGGTCTAATTCTAAAGCTTGATATTGAGAAAGCTTTTAATTAAGTGAATTGGAGTTGTCTGTTTAATATCGTTAGATTTATGGGCTTTAATCAGAGGTTCCAGAAGTGGGTCAAAGGAATTGTCTCTCACTCGAGATTATCGGTTCTAGTAAATGGAGAAGCAGCCGGTTTTTTCAGCATGGAAAGGGGGACTTAGACAAGGTGATTCGATGTCCCCTTTCTTGTTCAACTTAGTAATGGATATCCTAGCTTTTATGCTGGCTGAAGCCAATGCATCAAGGCTTTTATCGGGTTTCTACATTGACGAAGCTAGGCGAAGAGGGGAAGTTTCTCAAATTCTATTTGCTGATGATGCAATTATCTTTTATGATGCCACGGAACATGAAGTTACTAATCTGTTAGCGATTCTGTTATGCTTCCAAAGTGTCTCTGGCCTAAAAATTAATCTCGAGAAGAGTAAATTATTTCCTGTTGGGGATGTGCCACATTTGGAAAGATTAGTTGACCTCCTCTGTTGTGATTGGGAATTTCTTCCAACACTTTACCTGGGTCTTCCACTTGGTGCCTCACCAACCTCTAGTTGCATCTGGAACCCATTGATTACCCGTGTTAAAAAGAGGCTTCAAGGTTGGAAAGGAAGGCTCTTGTCCCTTGGTGGCAGATTGGTGCTAATCAAGTATGTTCTTGTGAGTCAGCCGACTTACCTATGTTCCCTTTTTCGAGCTCTTGTCCACATTGCTCAGATTATTGAGAAATTACAGTGTTCCTTCCTGTGGTCGGGGTTACAAGACCATAAGAAGTACCATCTAATTTCCTGGGATTGATGCAAACAACCTAAGAGATTGGGAGGGCTTGGTATTCCGGATTTTCGGAGACACAATACTGCTCTATTGTCAAAATGGTGGTGGAAGTTCGCTACTGAGGACTCTTGGTGGAAGGATCTAATGCGTATTAAGTACCCCAATGAAGACTCGCAATGGATGCCTGGTAAGCCTCTTATCCCGGTAGGCTGCAACCCTTGGTCCCAAGTGTACAAGGTGAAAGAGGAATTCTGAAAATTTGCAGTGATCAGTCCGAGTTCAGGCGAAAACATTTCTTTCTGGAGTGATCGATGGGTTAAAGGAGTTACCCTTGTGGACTGCTTCTCGAGATGCGCGGCTTCTGCTGCAAATCCCCGTGCATGATTATCTGATATCCTTTTAAAAACTAATGAGTGTTTATCTTGGGATATTTCCTTTAAATTCCATTTAAAGGGGGGGGGGGGTGCCGAGAGGGAAAGGCAGAGGCTTTTTACTTGTATCAACAATCATTTGCCTTTGTTAACAGCAGTTCATGACAAGATCACCTGGTTACCGGCTGCGTCGCATGTCTTTACCGTGCATTCCTTGTATCAAGAACTTACTCATGATGATGACAGGATTCGTGCAACTGGGGATCATAGAGGCGATTTCCCGTATAAGTCAGTTTGGTTGAGTCATGTCCCATCCAAAGTTTGCTTGTTTGTTTGGCTGACTTTCCATGGGAAGATACTTACACAGGACGCGTTAAAACGGAGAGGGTGGAATCTGGCTAACAAGTGTCCGTTGTGCTGTGCTCGTGAAGAAGACCCAACTCACTTATTCGTCACTTGCAGTTTCACAATGGTTGTCTGGAGAATCATTAGTCGCTTTGTCCATATCGAAGGTAGTGCAGCTTACAGGGAGATTGGAGATGTCATAAAGAGATGGGCGCCTCTGAATCCGCAGAGTCCAAAAGAATGGTGCACTAGAATAGTATTACATGCACTGCTGTGGTGCATATGGAAGGAACGGAATAACCGGATTTTTGAAGGAAAGTGTTCTTCCCAGGCTGCTGTTGCTTTTAAGATCGGAAACCTCATTGCAGTTTGGCTCCTAGCTGCGGGCAAAATTGAAAGGCAGGTTGGAGAAGAATGGATTCATAATCTTAAGGGGGCTCTACTCCATAGACCTACGCCACAACGACTTGGCCATTGAGACGAAGAAGGGCCATTTATTTGGAGTGCTTATTTGATCTTTTTTATTCTTGTTTCTGAGTTTTGTGTTCGGCTGGGCTGTGGTTCCCGAGCTGCCGATCCCCCTTTTCCTGTACCTGTGTTTTTTTTGTCTCTGCCTTCCCTTTAAACTCTCTTAAACTTTATTTAATTGATGAATTTCACCCTTACAAAAAAAAAAAGATCAAATATCAACGGCTTTCAAAAACTATGGTGAAAAAATGGGAATGGTACATCATTTCATAGCCGGGTAAAAACTAATATTGCTTCCCACAGAGATCAAAACCTTGACTAGTGGTATACAACACACAATTGTTTTCCACTAGACTACGTGAACTATTGCTTTCATATCATCACGTTAGTCAATTATATATGTTAACGTTAGTTTGTACGTCTAATACCGAACTTTTTACACGTAACTTTCGAGATTCTGGGGGGGGGGGGGGGGGGGTAGCTCCGCCCTTGGGTTCGGAGATCCTTAACCATACGATATGGCTTAGAGAGAAGAAACTCTTTACACCAAAAATTAATCTTGTACCACATTGGTTAAATAAAAGAGATTAAATGGCCTTATAAGGCCAACTTAATTATAACAATCTACACAATAAATAAAAGCAAAATGAGAAAAGTTGAAGCACCATTTCAAATTTCCTACATCCAGAGTGAAAGTAGGAAGGATATTTTGGTCTTCACAATTAATTTTTTTTTATTCATTAAAAAGACACTTACTAGGATTCGAACCATGACCAATCATAACCAATCATACTAAGTACATTTGTTGTATCTTTTTAAATTAAAAACATATAATCGCAGAGAGGAAAAAACCATTCCCCCATTTCAAATTCTCTGCTCCAGGAGCGTTTGTAGGAAGAGTAGAATAGGGAGTGTCAATTTTTTTTCTTTTTCTCTGTGGAACGAGCCAACTTACCATACACATGCAGATTTAAGCGAGTCTAGGAGTGTCAATTTTTTTCCTTTAAGTCCCTTTATTTCTCCGTGGTGGTAAAATATATATGAAAAGGCAAAAACAATACTCATTTTTATTGCTAAAAAGAAAAAAAGTTAACAATAAACTAATGCATGGATTCTAATGGGCTAACTGCTAATCATAAAATAACAAAGCTGAATGGGCCTGACCTACACGGGATTTGCCCATCCAGTAAAACAAATGAACATCATGAGTTTACTATTCTAAAACAAGCTATTTTCTCTAGCATAATATATATTATGCTATTATTTTATATCTTAGTGGCTAAAATATAATGTATTTTAAAGTTATTCAATGGTTCAACCTCGACCAACCCAATTAGTCCAATTTTTATCATTTTAAATATATATTATGTAATTATTTGATATCATAATTATTAAATTATAGTGTATATTATAGGGTTTGGTATTTGTTAGTAAAAAACTAAACAGAAAGATCTATTTGGTTATTTTTAACAATAAAACGATCCTAAACATTTTCAGTTTCCTTTCGAAATTCTATAGTTTTATTCTCGAATCAGTGTTGTGCAAATGGCGAATTGCAATCATCTCTTTTCTTTCATTATTTTTTATTTTCAAATAGAAAGTTTAAAAGTAAAGAGTTTGGCATGAGTCGGTCAAACAGAATGAATTTCAAGTTTTGGCCCGTTTTGATCAAGTCTAATTTATAATCACATGGTTCCCTGATATCCGATAAAAATCTCAATCCAAATCAGTTTGGCAGGTGAGTCCGTGTTTACCACCATTTTTTATGGATACAGGAACGGTGGTTCCTATCCCAAATCGTGTTGTTCATTCTTGATTTCTTTAGATTTTATCATGGCTTGACAAAAAACCAGAAAGCACAATGATGACAAGATTAAAGTTTTATAAAGCAAATTAATCGGTCAACGAGCTGAGTACGTAAAAGCTAGCAACGATTGTGAGATGCTCATTTCCCGAAAACCAGCGGGATATGCGATTTTTTATTCGATTTTCTGGAATTCGGTTTCTATAAAACTTACTCCACCTCATCATATTACCAGAAACAATATTGTTTCACAAGGTAACATGTACTTGATTTTGGTTCATAAGGCTGATTTTGATTCGTTGCACTATTCATGTCTCTTTCCTACTAAAATTCACTATTTTTATCATGTGTTTCCCAAAAAATACTATATAACAATAAGCTATACCCTATTACATTATCAAATTTCATACCTCAACTTCCTCCGGCCAAATGGCCGGGGCCCACGTTATTTTAAATTAGTTGACTAGGCTACCTAGATTGGGTTTTTGGGCCATTACTCCGTGTCATCACCACCACCCCAGGACATGGCAAGGAGGTGGGTACCATACCACCACCCCCAGGACGTGGCAAGGGCGGTGCCGAGAGGGTTGGCCACCATCCGTCCACCCCCATGACGTTGTATCGAGGGGGGTGGGTACCATATTGCCACCCCATGATGTGCCGAGGAGGTGGGCAACATGGGGGTGTCGAGGGGGTGGCCACCATCCGTCCACCCCCATGACTTGGTAAGGGATAGAATTGTTGCTAGTAACTGGGCCATTCTCGATGAAAGTGAGAGTGATTGGAAGAGCCATGCTGCTGCTATTGCTCAATCCATTCAAGTCATCAAGAAGCGGTTGCAGGTAATGGCCGTTCTTAGGTTCTGGAAATTCAGAAAGCAATTATTGAGTCGATGGTTCAATTTAGAATTGAATTGAACTTATTAGGGTCGTTTGGATTATGGAATGGGTGGATTGTTGCCTGAAAATTCATCATCTGATGGATTGCTGCTCATCCAAAGACAATACATCCTTACAACCTGACCAATTCATAAACTATACATTTCAAAACCTGCACGTTCTTAATAATTCATGTATTTAACAATCCGTCGTGCAAAGCATGCCTTTGTTTCTGGAGTGGCTGAAATTTCAGTTCATTTCCAGTACTCTAGCTGTCAATTTCTGTATGATTTTAGTTGTTTTTATATTGTATTTGTGATCCATGATTGTAATTTGTGGCAGTGGAAGAAGTTGATGGTTAGATTAAACCGGCTATCATCACAGCTGAATAAGCCAGACCTATGGGATGATCCTGTTCTTGCAGGAAGTTTAAGCCGGGAGCATGGCTCGTTGATGGGCAAGATGAAAGAGGTGAAAGCATTGGAACAAGATCTGATTGAGCACATTGATATGATAAAGTTGGCTCGTGAAGAATCAGAGAACTCGGAGATGGAACGGCGGGGAAACCTTGCTTCTTCTTGTTTAGGCATGTACCCTTTTTCCTGGTGCCCTAATGATTAGATTACTCTGTAGAACTCGTACCGGGACCAATATATTGCACCTGTGCTTATCTCTTGCTTTGCTTTAAATGGTAGCCTTGAACTATTGATCAGAAGGGTCGGCTGCCATCAACATGGAACGGACAAAATACCCATTTGGTTACAAGACTCATTTATATATCTTACACTGGACGCTGAATTCAACATTGATACAACTAAGCACCAAACTCATCCTAATATTTCATCATTCCCATTGTTGATTCCCTGTCAGTTTTTGCCGTTACTTTGTTGATGATGGGAACAGATAATGCTAATGATGTCTTCTTTCGGTTTTCAACTTGACTTAATGATTAATGTGATACACATGAACATGTTATGAGACCAAATTGGTATCCAACCGAGTTGCTACTTATCATGTGTAGTTGTCGCATGATCAATGACTTTATCACATGTTTCCTCTGCGGGAATCATTGAGAGCCTTGCTTGAGATGAGAAGAAATTTCAAAGAGAAAGAGCTTGAAGCTTTGTTGTCTGCAGAGCATGATTCTTGCTCGTGTTACATTGAGGTAGCTCTCCAAAATACTGATATGTTACTGTCTAAACTGTACTGTCGTATAATAAACATCTGTGTATGGAACTTTCATTACTTAACGGCTGGACCTTTATTTCTTGATGCATGAAAATAGGTTCAAGCTGGAGCTGGTGGTACGGAGAGCATGGACTGGGTGAAAATGGTGATGCAGATGTATAAACTATCGGCTCAACGCCAAGGGTTTAAAGTGACATTGGTCGACGAGATGCCTGGTGAGATGGCAGGAATCAAGGTTACATCATCTTTATCATCTTCCTCCGATTTCGGAAGCACAAAGTCTTGTAGCTCTTTTGAAATTTCTGATAATTAGCTGGGATAATAATGGGGTAGGTCCGTGTAGAATTTGATGATGCGGAAGAACGAAAGAACATAGAACACACGATTTTACGTGGTATCCTCGATCGAATGATTGATCGAGACTAATCCACGGTGAGCTCGTAACGAGCTCACGACTGATATTTTATTAGGGACTACATTGTAACGGCTTGCTTACGACAATCTCGTAGCTAAGCTTATATAGACGTAAATGTAGGGTTAAAACCCTAATGACAACCAAGTTTCCTTCTTTTACTTGAACAAGGAAAACTAGGGACTTGTAGGACAAGGAATTAATTATTTTTGACTAAATAATTAATATCCTCAACACTCCCCCTCAAGCGAAGACATGAATGACAAGAATGTCGAGCTTGAAAAAGGAAATATGACGAACAAGCATGACAAGCTTGAACAACAAAACTCGAGATGAATAATCTCACGGACAAGGTTGATTTGGAGACGACTGACTCTCTCCCTTGAACGACCAGATGAAGATGGTTGACTGCATCTTCTTGAACGTCGTGACGAGACGGTTGATTGCGTCTGTTCGAACGACCTGACGGAGGCGGTTGACTGCGTCTCTTGCATGACTTGACGAAGACAATTGACTACGTCTATCCATATGATATGGTGGAGATGGTTGACTGCATCTCCTGAATGACTTGACTGCCTATTCTCCCCCTCAAGTTGACGCATGAATGATGTGAATGCCCAGCTTGAAAGTTAGAATGGCGAAGACTCAACATTGATCGATGCTAAATGCTGAGGGGACGATCGCTATTGGGATCGTGACTGCCTCGCTTTATGACTTGACAATTTTGTTGACGAAAGCTGTAACTCCCCAACACTTGCTATTGAAGAGATGACCACTGCCGATCATGATTGCCTCAATGCCATGACTGCGATGTTGGTGAAGAAAAGCCTTCTGAAACTGAATTGACTTTGCAACAAGGAGTGACCTTGATGAAAATGACCCGACCACAATGACGACGAAACTTGTCGAAAAAAAAACACAACTATTATGACTTGACCTCTATGCTGGAGACGCATAGTACAAAGGGAACATGAATGGAATGAGCTTGTGGAATTTGAACAGGAGCCACCATGCAGGCTACGTAGCCGTTGCTTTGGGGATAAAAACCTTCACAAGACAGAAAACCAACAACCACAGTTGCGGAATCTTGAGCTTGAGACCAACAGTAGGACACAAAGTGATCCAAGAACTTCGTAAGACTGAGCTTGAGGTTGACTATTATATATGCAAACAGGATGAACCGGTCCTGGGCTGTGATTGGAGGCAGAACGAAGAGCTAGAACGGATACGGATCACCGAAGCGACAAACGGCAAGACTGAGTGATGCTGGGCGACTTCGGGACTGCAATAAAACAACACAACCAATCTCCACCACGAACTGATTTTCAACCATGACCATGTAATTACTTTGACCGACAAACTCCTACCAACCGTGATCCCAAGCTGAATTGACCAAAGGATACCACAAAATGACAAAACAGACCCAGACATGGAATTCCGGGGGGTGCACAGAACTTAGCTATAGAAGTTTCCCCATCATGGAGTTCACGTGAGAGTCTGGCTATTATGTGGAGGAGACCTCCACCAAAGAACATGGACAATTTAACCAAACCTTTGTTTTTGCGATAGTGGATGCTGCGGCAAGAGATGAAAGCCGCCACTCAGACGGGTGAAAGCTGTGAGGTGAAGTCGTCAAACTTTAGAAGTTCTCCGTGACGTTGATGAAGAGATCCCCACTGACCTGAGCAATAATGGACTTTGACTGGCGATCTGGAGACGGACAAGTCCGCGTGATTGACGACAAGGTCATCGTTGCTGAACATGACGCGAAGGCGCCTCGATGCAAGGCGACGCCGCAACGAAAGCTTCGACCAACGATGATGACAACCAGCCGTGGCAAGGACGACGATTAATAACAAGAGCACAATCGATGATGATGACGACGGCGGACTAGAGATCTCATTCTTAACTGCCGGAAGGACTTCGCCGACTATGATACCGGATCCGGAGTAGAAGGCCAGAGTGGACATCGGCTCTTCTTTCAACGGCAACCGTGACTATCGAGAGAACGCCTGGATGATGTTGGAGGGACGCCAACATTGAATTGACTACCGGCGGTGGCTACTGTGAAGGTAGCTTGGACTTCGCCTTGACTGCGGAAGCTCAAAACCCTAATCAAGGATCGAGTTTCGCTCTGATACCATGCAGAATTTGATGATGCGGAAGAACGACAGAACACAGAACACACGATTTTATGTGGTATCCTCGATCGATTGATTGATCGAGACTAATCCACGGTGAGCTCGGAACGAGCTCACGAATGATATTTTATTAGGGACTACATTGTAACGGCTTGCTTACGACAATCTCGTAGCTAAGCTTATATAGACGTAGACGTAGGGTTAAAACCCTAATGGCAACCAAATTTCCTTCTTTTACTTGAACAAGGAAAACTAGGAACTTGTAGGACAAGTAATTAATTATTTTTGACTAAACAATTAATATCCTCAACAGTCCGAGAAAGATATTTCTATCCTAATTACGGTCCCTATCCTCAAATTTGATATTCTCCCCATCCTCGAACAGATGAGATTTTTGCATACCTGCCCATGTATCCGTCGCTTTGGGGATACTGGCGGATGATCATCGGATAGTTCGTAGTACCCTGCATCAGAACTCGAACCTTAAAATGACTGTATGCAAATGTTAAAATTATTCGATTTTCTTCACATTGCATCTTCATTACCATTTTCTTCACATTAGTGTTTCAATTCCATGAATATTTTTGTCTGAGTTCTGTGCCGTTAACCGAACATGTGTAAATTTGAGATTTCTTTTGCTACTTTTAGCGCGCAACCATCAGACTAGATGGTGAATATGCATTTGGCTATGCAAAAGCAGAAGTAGGGGTCCACAGGCTGGTGCGAATCTCCCCTTTCGACAGCAGTAAAAGGCGGCACACATCATTTGCAGCAGTAGCCGTGATCCCAATTCTTGGGGAAGGGTTCACACACGTTCAGACCAACTAATCCGACCTACGAATCGAACGGTTTTGAGCTGGGGGAGCTGGTGGGCAACATGTTAACTCGACTGATAGTGCTGTGAGGATAGTTCATATTCCAACTGGGGTAACTGCTATTAGAGAGACTGCATAAAAAGAATCTATTCTTTTTTATTTCTTTATTGTTTTGTCCCACTCCATTCTGTTCCTGCTTTTATGGAACGTGGGCTGCAGAGGTTGCTACAAATCCTCTCTATACACGTACAATTAGATCAGATGAATCTCAATCAAATCCAAGTTAGTTTTTCCCACAACATCATTCACAATACGTCTTTCATGGTATTAGAGATAGATATGATCGCCTAGCCTATGTCAATCCCTATCTTTTTTTCTCTTCTCACCTCTCCCTGCCGTCCCTTGTTTTGGCTTGTTCCTCTGTTCTTCACGATGACAGGCTCAACCATGTCTAGTGGCTCCGCAACGTCAGAGGAGCAGCTCATCACCTTCAATCCAGCCGCCCAGCTCCCGCTCAAATTGACTTCGACAAACTTCAATTCCTGGCGTTCCCAGCTAGAGACTCTTCTCATGGACCTGGACCTCATCAGCTACATCGATGGAACCGGCGCCACCCCTGCTCAAACGATCATCGCCAATTCTAAATCCAGTCCAAATCCTGCCTACCGCCATTGGTATCGTCAAGATAAGCTAATTCTTCACGCCCTTCAATGTTCCATCTCTGAATCGTTGTATTCATATGTATCTGTTGCTGTTACTTCTCGGGAAGCTTGGCTAATTTGAAGGGAAAATTAGCCTGAACTATAAAGGGTGACCGTGATGTGCTCAATGACTTGAAGCTTACTGCAGCCGAACTTGCTCTTGTTGATGATCTCGTCTCTGATCTTGATCTAGTGGTTCATTGTCTTCACGGACTTGCCCTGATTATAATCACTTCTCTGCGGTCGTGCGTGCTCGAGGTGGAACAATCACCATTAAAGAGCTTCTCGACTCCCTCATTGAATATGAGGCTGATTTGAAAGAACAAACTTGGCTGCACTCGGTCCCTACCTCCTTCAACAAACAAGGTCAGCCTCATCGCAATGGCGACAGTCACAATCCCGGCGGCAGCAGCCACAATTCTAGCGGCGGCTCTTATTTTTCTCGCCAGCAGGCAGGTGCCCATCAATTGCCTGCAGCAAGGGTTTGGACCTGATATCATGGGCCGAGGTCCTCCCCTTCTATCTGGGCCACCCTTTCCCTCTGAGCCCCCTTGTCCAAGGAAGCCCTCAGTTGTCAGCCAATATTGTGAGAGGCCTATACAATCAGGCCGTCAGTGATTCAAGTTATTTCCTCAGGCCGGTCAGAATTTTAATCAGGCCCGCCAAGCTCAAGCTCATCACACAACTTCTAATCAGCCATCATCTGGGCCTTGGCTGATGGATATTGCCGCTTCCCATCATGTTACTTCAGATTTGGGCCATCTGTCCTTATATTCTGATTATACGGGCCCTGATGAAATTGTTGTTGCTGATGGTTCAGGTTTGGTGATTTCTCATATTGGCTTTTGCACTGTTTCTCTTTGTTCAAATTTATTTCAATTGACGACATTTTATGTGTTCCTAATATCAAGAGACATCTTATTTCGGTGGCCAAATTATGTCAAACTAATCCGGTGTTTGTGGAATTTTTGTCACTCATTTTCTTGTGTAGAATCTTCGCACGAGGGCACAATTGTTGAGGGGGGAAAACAACAGTGATGTCTATGAATTGCTTCGAGAGGTGGAGAATGTTCGAATGGCCCTGGTTACTACTCGAACGTCTAAAACTTTGTGGCATGCTCGTCTTGGTCATCCTTCCAACCAATCTCTTTCAAGGCTTATTCGGTCCTATTCCCTTCCTGTTGCATCATCAGTAGCTAGTTCTTCCTGTCATGCTTGTCTTTCCAATAAAAGTCACAAACTGCCATTTTCTATCTCTACTCTCTCCAGTATGCATCCTTTTGATCTCCTATATACAGATGTTTAGGGTCCTGCCCTTTTTTCTTCTATTGATGGTTATTGTTATTATTTGGTTATAGTTGATCATTTTACTCGATATACTTGGTATTATCCCTTACGTCGTAAATAAGATGTTCTCCAAGTTTTTCTCGATTTCAGGAAAATGGTTGAAAATTATTTTTCCACCACCATTCGTCGCTTATACACAGATCGTGGCGGCGAATTCCAAAAACTTCATTCTGATCTAATTAATCATGGCATAACTCATCTTCTCACTCCTCCTCACACACCCGAACACAATGGTTTTGCTGAGCAAAAACACCGCCATTTGGTCGAAATTGGTATAACTCTTCTTCATCATGCAAAGCTTCCTCCTTCTTTTTGGTCCTTTGCTTTCTCCACTGCCATTTGTCTCATCAATCGCCTCCCCCATCGTCCGCCCTCCATGGTAAAATTCCCTACACTCTTCTTTTCAATTTGTCCCCTAACTATCATAAACTCTGTGTTTTTGGTTGTCTCTGTTATCCCTGGCTTCGTCCCTATTCCTCTCACAAACTCGATCCTCGCTCCCGCCCCTGTCCCTTCCTTGGTTACTGCCTCCAACGTAGTGCTTATCGTTGTTTTGACTCTCCCACTCACCGCCTTTTCTTTTCTCGTCATGTCGTTTTTGTTGAGGACAATTTTCCAGGATATTGCCACGCTCCCTCTATTGAGCTTCCTCCGCCAGCCACTTGGCTCTTGGATTCTTCCCCCACAATCACCACTCTATCAGGCCCATCCAAGCACTCCACCTTGTCGACTAGGCCTCCTCTCAGCCCTCCCACCTCGGCAGCAACGACCTCCACGCCCAATTCCTTCACCCTCGGGCCCTCTGCCTCTGGCTCGTCTACTGAGAAACCTATTCCCTTGGTGCCTTCTACACCTCTGACTGGGCTTCCGCCTGTTCCCTGCCCACCACCTCCGCCCCTTCGCTCCCATCCGATGTGGACTCGGGCCCAGGACGGAATTTTCCGGCCCAAAAAGCTATTCCACACTCACTTAGTGACTGGGCCGCCTCCTCTTCAGCCTCGTACAATCAGATAGGATCTCTGTTACAAAGAATGACATGATGCTTTAACTACTGAAAATCATGCGTTATTAGCCAATTGCACTTGGGACTTGGTTCCCCGTATCCCGCACTATAATGTTCTTGGTAATCGGTGGGTTTTTCGTGTTAAGCATCATTCTGATGGTTCTATTGAACGCTTCAAGACACGTTTGGTAGCCAAGGGTTATCATCAGCGGCCAAGGGTAGACTTCAGTGACACTTATAGTCCGGTTGTTAAACCGGTCATGGTTCGCACAGTTTTTACCTTGGCTCTCTCTCATAATTGGCCTATTGCTCAGTTTGATGTCAATAACGCTTTTCTTTACGCTCCGTTGGAAGATGAAGTTTATATGGCTAAGCCTCCTGGTTTTATTGACCCTCATCATCCTAATTATGTATGTCGTCTCTGTCGTGCTATCTATGGTTTTCGTCAGGCTCCTCGGGCTTGGTACACTGCTTTGACCGACTTTCTACTTGACTTTGGCTTCACGAAGACGCTCTCTGATGCTTCTCTCTTCGTTTATTCTCGTGGGCCTACTCTACTATATTTTTTGGTCTATGTCAATGATCTGCTTCTCACTGGGAATGATTCTTCTGTCCTCACATTATTCCAGACCGCTCTCTCCACAAGTTTTTCTCTCAAGGCCCTCGGCGATGTCAATTACTTTCCTGGTATTGAGGTCATCCCCACTTCCACTGGCTATACCTACTCTCTCAAAATCAGTATATGGTTGACATCCTCCACCGATTCCAGATGACTGATGTTAAGGCGGTTGACACTCTGCTGGCCTCTTCCGCGATTCTCACTCTTCATGATGGTAGTTCTACCACTGATGCAACTCGTTATCGCAGGAGCTCGGGGCTCTTCAATATCTTGTCTACACTCGCCCAGACATTGCATTCTCTTTCAACAAGCTCTCTCAGTACATGCATGCGCCCACGGCTTATCATTGGAAGTGCGTCAAACGGCTCCTCCGCTATGTCTCCGGCACTCTTCACCATGGTCTCTCCATCTATCGCTATCCTGGTGCTCTCACCTTATCTTCCTTTGCCGACTTTGACTGGGCCGGGAATCTAGATAAACGATCCTCTACTTCTGGCTATCTTGTCTATCTTGGATCGACTCTCATCTCATGGCGGTCTCCAAAGCAGCGCACCGTGGCTCGATCCAGCGCTGAGGCTGAATACCGTGCCATCGCTCATGCCACTGCGGAATTGGAGTGGATTCAAAATCTGCTTGTCGAGCTACGACACCCATTACCGTCTACTCCGACTCTCTATTCTGACAACCTCGGCGCCAGTTATTTCAACTCTAATCCAGTTTTGACTTCCCGACGAGAAAATCTAGATGAATAGAATTGAATTGCACCTTTTGACTTCCACACAAACGATTAACAAACACGGTTAACACCTCTTTGAACAAGGTTCAAACAAGGGTGTTCAATGTTCTTGATGATCTATGAGACAAACGAAATTACATTAAGTCTACTGCTATGGAGGTTCAGCGAGAGCTCTAAAACTACTACTATGGCGAAATTTGCAGAGGAAAAGATAAAAGGAGAAAATTTGACATTGTGTTGTCTGGTGTGATTTTGGCGAACCACTCCTCTATTGTCTTCACCTCCTATTTATAGCCACGAGAAGTAATGGCTTTCAAAAAACCGCTTTGCTGATGTTGAGTGACGGTTACTCTTTTCAACTGCTCCATTGATGCCGTGACGACGGTAATGCCCTCCACTTACGACTTCTGTTGATGTGACTTGAATCGGACTATCAGCCGCTACGACTTGTATTTGGGTTCGGGTTCTGGGCCTGGTCTGTAACCGTTTCCTTTGCCAGATTGGATTAGGTTTAGACCCACATGGAGAAGTACTATAAATACTTCTAATACTCCTTTGTAATCTGTAATCTCCTTGATATAGTGAAACTGGCTCTCTCTCGCCCATG